GCTACCTTTAAAGATGGTGTCATTATGCTGTCATGTGTCATCGAGTCAGAACTGACACATCGCTGACCCTCCCGAGGGCTTTCAGAGGCAGTAAACAGCATGGGGGGAAACTGCCCATCCTTCTCCCATTGAGCAGCTAGTGGATTCGAACTGCGTGCCTTCAGGATTGGCAGCACAGCTCCTTACCACTAGGCCACCAGAGCTCGGTGGTTCCTCAGCACAATGCAAAACTCCATCTTTTTTTTTTTTAAGGAGGGAAGGCGTGGCTTCTCACATTTAACTCATTTCTGTGGATTTGGAACCAGCTCACGGCTGACCCTTCCCTGAGTTTCTGAGGCTATAAACTGCAGGGAGGGATATGGCTCATCGGTCTTCTGAGAGGCTCCTGGAACCGTCAGAGAGACAGTTCCCTCACAGCTCCTCCTTTACAGAGAGGAGTAGCATTCAGTGTTCAGGTAAAAACAGAGTTCATTTACCTTTCTGATAAAGACAGTAACTGTATATTAAAGGACTGTATTATTAGCTAAGGTTTTAGCTCTCCAAAGTACGGAAGAGCAATGGTGTCTCTCTGGAGACTAAGGTGCGTCTGATACAGGCCATGGTCTTCGCAATCACTTGTTATGCATCAGAGATTTGGACAATGACCAAGGAGGACAGAAGGAGAATTGATGCCTTTGAGCTGTGGTACTGGAGAAGAGTATTGAGAATACCACGGACTGCTAGGAAAACAGATTTGTCCTGGAAAGGGTTAAACCGGGTGGCTCCTTGGAGGCAAGGATTCTGAGGCTCCGTCTAACATACTTTGGACATGTTGTGAGGAGAGACAGATCCTTGGAGAAGGACATCATGCTTGGGAGGGTGGAGGGACAGCGCAGGAGGGGAAGGCCCTCTATGAGGTGGATTGATTCAGTGACTGGGATAATTGGGATGGGTGTGTCAGAGACAGTGCGATTGGCACAGGACAGAGCGGAGTTTAGGGCTGTTGTACATGGGGTCGCTATGAGTTGCAAGCGACTTGAGGGCACATAACAACAACAACAACATTATTAGCTAATGATCACATACATATCACAGAAACTTCAGAATGCTTCACGTGCCAAGAGCACTGCTGTGATTTTAAGGGATGCCATTTCCCTTTTTTAAAAAGAACCAATGCTCGTGGACCACAGGGCGTGTCAATTTTAAGACCCATCAGTCACTGTTCCCGTGCATATTGAAACTCTCAAAGCAATATCACAGCAGGCATCGAATCCGCCATAACAGTCATAGTTACGAAGCACAAATGAACCATAATAACATGTAGAATTATTTTTTTCTACGAGTTTATTTATAAAATTCAAACAAATTATTTCAATTTCCCTCACCACCCCCCCCATCAAATTGTGCAACCCAATGAATAATCCTCCCTCCCCCTGCACATCCTCATCCCTCTGCTTCTAACCTCTCCCACCCCTCCTGGATCCTTATACTCATCCTACAATAATGGTTTTATACAATATTTGTCCTTGTGGGACTGAGTTAGTTCACTCAGCATAATGCTCTCCAGTCCCTCACAAGTTAGGTAATAATTTACAAAGTTATGGCTCCTGTGTGCTGCGTAGTATTCCATTGTGTGAATGTACCCTAATTTCTCAATCCATTCATTTGTGGTTGGACATTTGGTCTGTTTCCATGTTATTGGAATGGTGAATAATGCTGCTATGAAACAGGGATACAAATTCCCATTTGTGTCTCAGTTTTCATTTTCTCAGGGTATATTCCAAGTAGTGGAACAGCTGGGTCATACGGAATTTCTATGTTCCGTTTTTGAGGAAGCATCAAACTGCCTTCCAGAATAGTTGTACCATTTTATTATCCTACCAGCAATGTATAAGAGTTCCTTTCTTGCCACATCCTCTCCAGCATGTATTACTTGCCATCCTTTTAAACTTTGCCACTGTTACTTAACTTTGGAGGGACTGGAGAGCATTATGCTGAGTGAACTAACTCAGTCCCTCAAGGATAAATATTGTATAAAATCATTATTGTAGAATGAGTATAAGGATCTGGGAGGGGTGGGAGAGGCTGGAAGCAGAGGGATGAGGATGTGCAGGGGGAGGGGGGGATTAATCATGGGGTTGTACAATTTGATGGGTGAGGGAAATTGAAAGAATCTGATTTTCAAAAACAATGTATTTTAATTTTGTAAATAAACTAGTATAAATTTAAAAGACTAGTATAAAATTAAAATAAAAGATAATTAACTGAAACATTTGTGGATCAAGAATGATCTGAAAAGACTGTTTGGTGTTCCACATTGCGCCAATATTCTGTCATTGTGGATCAGGTGAATTTACAGGGATTTCAGGAAAAATTCTATCAAAGAAAAGAAGGAAAACGGCAACTAAAGAATAATTTGCAGTGAGGATTCTGGGTGAGGACGGGCAGCGTGGGTTTGGAGGTGGGCGTGGGGTGAGGGTGGTGGAGGAAATGGGAAAGATCCAGCGTGAAAAACAATGTATTCAAACGTTGTAAATAAACCGGTTTAAAATAAAATTTTAAAAAAGATTCTGAGATCTTTTAAGCACACATAACATCTTTGCACAAAAGACAGTATAAAGAGTCAAAATAAATTCCTGATTTCTCATCTGATGAGGAGGTTCTTGTTTGAAAGTTAGAAAGCAAGAGCCGTGGGGGCGGGAGGTGGGAGAAGAAAAGCTGACTTCTCATTGGGATGCAAATCAATGCACAAAACGGTGCCCATGGGACAAGCCTAACTTTTTCTTGTAGACCTGGCCGTGCCCTGGTCACTGTTAGGTGACAGGGATGACTTCAGACGGTCGATTCAGTCTAGGATTCTCTTTAACCAGAATGTTCTGATAAAAACATTATCCATCAGAACAATCTCTCATCATAAGTGCGGGTAGGCTGGAAGCCATGCCCGAAAAGGAAGTTGATTTGCCTTATTTCTGCTTATTCTTAGTTAATTTTTCTTATTCTTAGTGACTTCTAACCGTGATGCCTAATTTTACTTATTCTTAGTGACTTCTACCATAGCCTGTGAGAGGCTCCGAAGAAACATTTCACACCTTCTCTGGCTGGCAACCACGACTGTGTGCAATTAATGCAACAATGAATGAATGGAAATCCAAAATCTCTGTGAATGTTCATTAACATTAATAAAATTTTAAAAAACAACAAACACCTTCTTTTTACTTACCCAGGTGTGACCTCCAAATAATACACTTTCCTCATCTTAGTTCAGTGTGTGTGCGTGTGTGTGTGTGTGTTGTGTGTGTTCCCAGTTTCCCCCTCTAGGCCAGTGCTTTCTGCATGAGAAGGAAATGTGATCCAAAGAATGATATTGCAGGATATTTGCCTGAGCAAATCAACAGACCCTGTCATTTTGATTTCTGCACAGGAGTTTTACATATGGATGGAATGGCGAATGTTTGGAAGCTAAAACACAAAATAAAATGTCATTACTGTATTTGCATCTATTATTAATTTATCACAGTGCATGTGAAAAAATTCATTAAAAGACAAAGATTCAGTGGCAATCTTCAAAGGCAATAGTGCAAGCTTAAAGGGAATCTGGAGAAACATACCAATTTTTTTAAAAAGTGAAATCTTATTCCCTAAAGAGATACATTCTAAAGGCTGTGTTCCAACTACTGTGAACAGATTGAGCTGAATTCTAGTGTATTTCAATAATGCTTAAAAAAAAATACAGCAGTGTAAAAAGGATAGTATTCAATGAATGATAAAAATCATAACCTTGGCTTTTGATCGACTAGTTATTTAGAAGAAAAGTTGTTCTTTATATAGTTGGAACTCCAGTCTGATTTGTCAGTGTTGCATTTTATAACATCCCACAAAAAGCCAGTTGATAAAAGGAATTCTGTTCTAATAATCATCATCCAATTATTATCATCAACCTGTGTCCCCTGGGGTCTTATTGGTTGTTCATAGGGTCGCTATAAGTTGTAGTCAACTCAATGGCACCTAACAATAATAACACAAACGGTGACACACTGGCATTCAATTTCTCTTGTAGAAAAAAATCTCAATGAATAAAGAAGGGATTTATAATTTATTACATAACTTATTTTCATTTCCAATTCTCAGACAGTAACAATTTGAAAACAATATAGGTAACTTTAGTGAGGAGGGACTTAGGATAAGAATTATTGCATCTCTCTCATAGATTCTATGAATGCTTTAAAGTGCTCTATAAACACTATATGTTTGATTAGCAGCAAAACAGTTGTCTACTTAAAACCTCACTCTCCCATAAGTATATAGATATAGATACATATACACACTGTACATAAATATCTTCTATTAATCTACCTTAACTCTGACCATTTAAATTATTCCCAGAGATTGTGCAAGGTTACAAATACTGTCTACACTGCACCACAGCCCAAGACCACTAGCACCCCAGTAGTGAAGAGACAGCCAATCTTTTCATCTGAAAAACAAACAAAAAAATCAGTTGCATATGTTGAATGCTTCAGATAAAAAAAATCCTGGGGCTACAGTGAATGCCACCATAAAGTATTCTGGGTCCTTTCCTTTTCCTTACCTAAAACTAGCTTGTCTATATAAAAGGCTAAATGCCTTTAGATAGAGTTTCAGCAAACCTGAATATAAAATAATATTTTAAAAATACAATTAAAAAAAAAACAACAAACAAACTTGGAAGAGAGTTGTGTTGGGAGTGATTTTCTTCCAGGGGAAGGATTGTGCAGCATTTTTTCTCAGGAGCTCAGTGACAGCCCTCGTCTCCGTGTTTGTGACCATCCTGGGGTGGAGTCCCTTGCACACCGCAGCTGCCGTAGGGCCTCGGACACCAGACATGTGGAAGGAGTTCCTGTAGACACACAGCCTTGGTCTCCCCTCTTCCACACCTCCCTAGCAGCACCTGACCCTGTGGGCTTCTCGAAACAACGGCTGAAGTCCAGATCTGGAACTTCACTGGGGAGAAGACCCAAGTCCCACGGGAGGCAATGTCTTCTTCATCTTTTGGCTGGAAGATTCTTGGTCCCCCATGGATAGGAGTGATACCTAGAGGAACCCATAAAAAGAAAAAAAACCTTCCTTATTGTTACAGTCTTTCACTTCACACATTCAAGTTCAAAAGCTGTGGGTCAGGCAAGTTGATAAAGCACAAACTCAAGCACATTGTTGTGGAGCAGGAACCAAAGCATTGAGTTTTCAAGACTGTAAATCGCCTGGGGAAGAGGTTGCTCCCATGACGCTGTTGGTGGATTTGAGAGGCATCGCGTCTGCGTTAGCATCGCCACTGCCGGTAGACTACACCAGCGGTTGTTATGTACCATCAAGTCAGAGCCTACGTACAGCCAACCCTCTAACAGGTTTTCAGAGGCAGTAAATCACACAAGACAACTGATCTCTATGTTGATGTTATTGTTGTTAAGTGCCGTCGAGTCATGGGTGACTCTAGCAACCCTATGAATAAAAGTCCTCAACACTTGTGTGACTTTCATCCTTTCTCCAGATTCATAGGCTTTCCAGAGGCAAGACATTATGGAAGTGGATGCCACTCCTGCTTCCAAGCTGTGTCAAATGTGTTAATGGTTACCCAAGTGTTGAGGACATAGGGTCGCTATGAGTCGCCTACGACCTGACTCCATGGCACTTAACAACAACAGCAACAAATCACGCAAGAAGAGGCTGCCTAACTTCCTTCCAAGGAGCAACTGGTGAATTCAAACCATGTGCCTTTGGGTTGGCAGTCCAATTTCTTATCACTAGGACCACCAGGACTCCCTAGATGATTCACGATGAATTTAAAAAATAATGATTCTAAACATAATGAGTCATTTTTTTTTGAAAGCTGCCTTTTATTGAGGTCCAACTCCATCTAGGGTCTTTCTCAAATTATTAACTTGATAGGGATTGATACCCCCTCATGGTGGGAAAAGAAACAATTATAACAAGCAACTGGCAGACTAAATGTCATTGTTGTTGCTAAGTGCTGTCCTGTGCATTTATTTTTTTTTTTTTTAGTGATCACAGACCTTGGGGAAGGAACACTGACTGTGCATCCAGCCCTTTTTTTTTTTAAAATTAAATTTTATTAGTTTTAATGAACATTTACAGAGATTTTGGGTTTTCATTCATTCATTGTTGTACTGTTTTCTCCACCCTTCTCCCCAGTTCGTTCTTCTTCCCCTCCCCCATGTCTGTTTTAATTGTCCAGTTGCCACAGTGCTTGTCAAAGCCAGTTCTGATTAATCTCCTTTGGCAGTGTGTCCCTTGCCATTCCCTATCACTCCTCCCTGAGAGAGACTTCACCCTGATTCATAAGGAAAAGGGGATGGCGTATTCTCTTAGCTACTTCCTGCTGAAAAGGGACGCTGTGGGTTTCAGGGTGAGTCATGTGCATTTAAAATTGTCCATTTTTCTATCATCAGTGGTCTGTTGAGAGGCCTTGTTGGCACAATGTTTAAGCACTGGGTTCCAAAGTGAGAGGTCAGGGGTTTGAACACAAGCGCGCTCTGGGAGAGAAAGGATCTGCTCCTATAAAGATTATAGACTCGGAAACCCTGCAGGTTCTTCTACCCCATCATGTGAGACAGCAGTGACTCAGTATTGACTCACCAGCACACCCACAAACGGACTCACATTAGTCAGTTGGGGAAATTATGCACATCAATGCATCTTTACCTTGTGCTTTGTTACGGATCAGCATTTATCGCAACATCGTCAAATAACAGATCAATGTACATGCCAAGTGCATTCAAAAAGATGATTTCCACCTAGTGAGTTCAAACAAGCTTACTTTTAAATACAACACTGGTAAGATGAAGACTTGCTAGACTGCATGCTTCTAGTAAGATAGCTGTTTAGCTACATGGAGTACAATTGTTGTTGTTGTTGTTAAGTGCCGTCGAGTCATAGCGACCCTATGAATCAAAGTCCTTGACACTTGCGTGACTTTCATCCTTTTTCCAGGTTCATTCGGTTTCCGGAGGCAAACTATTTACTGAAGTGGATGCCACTCCTGCTTCCAAGTTTGTTTTAACCGGGGAGCTCCACCAAACGCTGTCCACCATAGGTAACCATGATTGCATTTGGCACATCAGTGTCACAGTGTTCAGCTTCACAGCAACCACGAGTTACCTCTGTAGGACAAGTGGACACACCAGGGCTGTACGGCATAGAAGAATGTTTGACCAAAAATAATGAAGAAGAGGCCCGAGTGTCGTGGATTAAAAGTCACCCACCTTTGGCTTGGTAGCATCGCTTTCTGTCCACTAGGCCATCTGATCTCTATGTTGATGTTATTGTTGTTAAGTGCCAGCGAGCCGTAGGCACTTAATAGCAACCATTGTCGAAGTACAATTACTAGGCATAAATCAAAGCCCAGCTAGTTCCCATCAAGTCAATTATGACCCTTGACAGCCACAGTGGACTCTGGTCAAGAATGGAGCCCATTTGGGAGCCATGCAAGCTTGGCCAGATCTGTTTGACACTGTTGCGTTGTCTCTATATTACTCCGTTCCTCTGAACATAGTCCTGCCTTCTCTTGCTAGAAGCCCAGGAAGAAGGAATCTCTCATTCTGATCAGGGGTCTTTGCTGCTATTTCTGCTTCTGTCAGGTCTGTCCTGGAGGAAGTGAAACCAGGGTGCTCCTTGGAAGCGAGGAGGGCAAGACTTGGTATCACATATTTGGCGCATGTTGTGAGGAGGGGTTAGTCCTTGGAGAAGGACATCATGCTTGGAAATATCAGGATTTTAGAGGAAGTCCCTCAATGAGATGGATTGACACGGTGACTGTGGCAATGGGTCAGGGGTGTCGGAGATGATGAGGTTGGCTCAGGTCAGGGCAAGAGTCAAGCCATTGTTCATATGGTCGCTATGAGATTTAGTCAAGTCAAAGGCAAAAAACAACAGTGCAGCATTTTATGCTTAGGACCTTGTTCCTAATCAAATGCCCAAGCAGTCTCCCCCATTATTTGAGCAGTCCCAGAACTCTTCCTCAAAGAGAGATAATAGTGAGGTACTAGTTTTTCTCTAAGACTTTCTTTCTGAAAATGCCACTTCCCCCCCGTGATCTCCTTTCACTAAACTCACACCTCAATATTTAAGCTGAAAACACACCCTAACTCACATTACTGCATAAGTTGGGTTTTTTTGTTTGTTTTTTGGTTTTTTAATGCATGTAGATTTTATAGGCTTGGACTGACAGTCTGTTTGCCCACTTTGATGATACAGGAATTACAGATGGAATTCTCTGCATGGTGCTTCATCAAGATCGTGTGATAAGGCTCGACAATGGTGATGGCGATGATCATGACAATGATAAAGATGACACCGTGGACAACAGCAGAGCTGGGAGACTCTGGTAGGGGAGTCAAAGCACTGTTCCTACTTTTAAGCAAACAGCTAGGACAGCTTTTTTCCAACTTGTGTCCCATGAAAATGACAGCAAAACCCTGGAGTAAAACCGAGATCAACAGACTTCTTTCTTATAGAGCACCTGAGTTTTAAATATGTGAATACATGTTGGGAGTCTTTGAAAAATAAAAGCTGTACTTGCAACATTCCCTAAATCTATTAGGGCTAGGAAAAGAGCTCTGGTAGAAGAGGCCACAAGGCCCTGCATTGCTAACGCAAAGGTCTAGCCTCTCCAGGGTCTGAATCCACTAGCAGCTTCTCAGGAGAACGATGGGCAATCAATCTCCTGCATGATTTACAGCCTTGCAGACCCAGTGAGTGGTCAAGTCAGTTCCACAACTCTGAGTCAGCTCCAACTCCACAGCAATTTATGGGTGAGTCCTTGGATCACGATACTTCCTTCCCTAGGACACATCCACGAATGCCTCTGATAATATCGGCATTCCATAGAGTCAGCTTGAGGAAATAGACTCCTGCCAAGAAAACAAGTAGGTCTGTCTTGGAGAGGGTGAAACCAACTTTTTCCTTGGGGGGCTAGGATTTTGAAGCTCCATCTCACATACTTTGGGCACAAGGCCAGGAGAAATCGGTCCTTGGAGAAGGACAGCATGCTCAGAAGGGTGGAGGGACAGCACAGGAGAGGGATGAGATGGACTGATACAGTAACTGGGGCCGTGGGGGTTGGTGTGTTGGAATTAGTGAGACTGGCTCAGGACAGGGCAGGGTTCAGGACTGGGTTGCTATGGGTCTCAGGCAACTTGAAGACACATAACAACAAAAACATTCTATGAGATTCTAGGACATCCAGCCAACTTCATCCCTTCACCATGAAAAAAAGTCATAATGGTAACTAACAGCTGACTTGAGTTGTAGTTGGGGTTACCACTGTGGGGACTATTGGGTATTTATTTCTAAGTGTAACATAGGGTCGCTATGAGTCGGAAACGACTCGATGGCACATAACAACAACAACAACAACCTGACTCATTTCTTGGAAATTCATTTTAAACAGTGTCCACTTCCTAAACAACACACCTCTGGAAACTATGAACTTTGATAAATGTCCATAGTTATAGAAAGGCTTCAGGCCTTTTGTTCATAGAGTCACTATGAATTGTGCTCAACTTGACGGCAATCAACAACAAAAATGCAATAGCTCTAGATACAGTCAAGGATTATTTTTGCCAGTAACTGTGAAAGGTCTTTCTCCCAAGATAAATACTACCACTGCTATGAGAAGCTAAAAACTGGGGTACATGGTTTCCAAAAGGGTGATTTATTTTCATCTGGAAGCTTTTAAGAAAATTGGATGTCATATCCCACATATGTTACTTCAACTTGACTGCTTAAATCATGCCTTCCTAATCTAGTCATAATTCTAAATATAACCAGGAACAATTTTGTGACTTCTTTATTTTGCGTCTGGTTATCTGTTCATCAGTATAGGAAAAATATTGTTGTTGCTGTTGTTTTGCACCATTGAGTTGACTCCAACTGTTTTCCACTGATCGATTTCTCTTTAGGGAGCTCTGCAACTCATAGTGACCCTATACACAGTAGCTGGTGTATCCTGAGCCAATCTTTGCCTCTGACTCACCTCTCCTCGTTACCCTAGTTATTGCGTCAATCCATCTCATCTGCGGTCTTCCTCTCCTGCCCTGTCCCTTGGCCTTTCCAAGCATGATGAAAACTGTACAATGTGTTTTAATAAAAGAATTCTTTCTTTGGGAAAATAAATATGTATTTTTTTTAAAAAAAAATGATGGTAAAAGGAAAATAATAAATTGCAAAGAATTAGCAAAGTCATTAAAGAAGAGCTCGTGTACGTTTCTCCCAAGTTCTGTTTTGTCATTGGTATTTATTTGACTTTTGGCAAGTCTGAAGACGTTTATTGACTATGAACCTGAGTCTCTGAGGAAATGCTAATAAATTGTAAGAATGACCTCTGCTCTCACTATGAGCCAAAGGAACTTGAAATCATAAGATGCTGGTAGTCAAGAACACGGAAATTCCCACTACCCTGTAGGACTGAACGTATGGAGTGCTCAGTAGAAATGAAAATACAGAATCTCTGAAGTGGGAGGACAGTGGTTGTGGAGCTGGTAATTTCTATTAAGTATATACTTCTTGAAAATGAGAATTACTCATCATCACCCCTCTACAGCTAGCACTCACAACAGAACTAAATTCACAAAGGCAGTATTTTAGAAATATATCACCAAGCCAAAAGAGCAAGCAGTTGAATAATCTCAACGTGATTCATATGAACAGCCTGTCCAAACAGGAGGAGGAGAGAAATTGTTATGAAATTGACTTAACTTCAAAAAATGAATCTTATTTCTATATAATGCCCTAAATGGGTTGTTCCTGAGGTGTTCTCTTGCCGTGGCCCCTAGTTCTCTTTGGGGAAGACTTCTGGAGTCATTCACGTGATGGTCATGAGAGGGCTTTGCTAGCTAGAAAGAGAGGCAGTTGCTCAAGGCTCACAAGGCGACTCTAGGAGAATATATTACGCAGGAGGATGTGTCCTGAGACAACCCTGAGCCGTCCAGGAAAGGCCATGTGCATGTGATGCTTAAAATCCATCCGATGATTAAGCCAGGAGTAGGATCCTTGAAAAAGCCAACGTGTTGGTGCCCACTTCCATCTCCCTTACCACTCCACCACACTCTGGTCCAACACCCGTGAATCACCACGAACTGCATTTCTTTCCCTGAGGACTTTCTCTGGCCTCTGAAAGACTACTGTATTTGCCCACCGTGGGAGCAGGCCCGAAATGCCAGGAAATGAATGTCCCTTGAGGGCAGACCTCAGACAATGAATGTTAGAAACAGGAGGAGAGACCTCACAGCTCACACATTCACATACTCGTTAAGTGGGAGAACTCAAAGAGGCATGCATTGATTGCACTGCTCTTTCAGAATGCTTTCATGGGATCGAGCTCAGGTTACCCACCATGGCAACTTGCTTGATGTTGTAGTGTGCCAAGCTGATTGCATCTCCCAGAGATCTATATGATTGGAAAAACGGGCCCATAGGATTTTATGGGAAGCCAAACTTCATACCAAATATATGAAAACCCTTGGTCAGGAACTGAAGGAATTACAAATTTATAAGTTAGGATTTCTCTTGTGACAGATCACAAAAAATGAGCTGTTTGTTCCCTGCAGACAAGAGACAGCTAGGGCCCCCCTGCAGAGGGAGTGTTAACTTCCTGTGAAATACTTCCTGAGCTAAAGCATTAGGCTGACAATGGAGAAAATTTCAGCTTCATTTACAAGGAATTCTTTTTATGATTTGTTTCCCCTGATTAACAATAAATACACAGAGAAACATGACTTGGGGTCTTCAGTGGAGAACTGCTGGCCCCCTGTGTTTTATGCTCTCTGCTCTGTCTCATTCCTGGCTGTCTGTCTCATTATTAATAATTATGAAAATACTTTACCCTCGGTCTGCAACAGGATTTCCTGAACTGTATTCCTTGAAGGTAAGGATGACTAAGCTTGGCCTTCCATACTTCGGACATGCAGCCAGGCAAGGCTATTCCTTAGAGAGGGACATCATGCTTGGAAAGATGGAGGGTCGGTGAAGGAGAGAAAGACTCCCAATGAGATGGGTTGACATGGGGACTTCAGCAATGGGTGCTAGAGTCTTAGAAATGAGGAGGATGATGTAGGATAGCGCCATTGTCAAGTGGCTATGAGTTGGACTCAACTCGAGAGCACCTACCAACAACAAGACATTCCTTACAATCTCTTTGACAGCAAACAAGCAAGTCTTTCCTCCTCCACAGAGGCTGGTAAATTGGAACCACTAAACAGCTGTAAGTTTAACCACTGTACAACCAGGAGTCCTTTTAACTTGCTTCCTGGAATAGCCCTCACAGAAACTGTTAGTTGTTGCTATGTACCATCGAGTCAGAACCAAACCATAGCTGACCCTCCAGTGGGTTTTCAGAAGCAGTAAATCGCACAGGAGTAAGATTTGCCCATTTTATTCCTGGGGAGCAGCTGGTGGGTTTGAACTGCATACCTTTGGGGTGGCAGTGCAATTTCTTACCGCTAAGCCACCAGAGCTCCATCATATCAACAAAGATCACGCAAACCCAGCAAAGTACATAACACTAATAACTACAATAATTCTGTATTGGTAGCAATTGATAAAGACCATATTTTTATTCTCTGGTGACGTGGTGTGTAGGCAATTGCACTGTTAACCCAAAGATCTCTCTGCGGGACCAAATCCATCACTGTCTACAAGTGAGTTAAGTAGGCAATTTCTTCCCTGGCAATTTAGAGAAACCCAATGGAGGGTCAGCATTGAGTAGGTTCCAACTTGGCAACACCAAGTTCAAGTTCAACAGTTATATCAGAGGATGAAGTACAGGCCAAGTGAAGTGAGAAAGGTTTCTTCCTTAAGGCAAGCAAATGGCAATGCACGTCTCATCCCACGGATGTATTTTAAATTACTCAGAAATGTTGGTAGGGCTGCATGTTTCCTTTTTCTTTCCTCCTTAACATGCCATTAAAACAATGGATGGATTCTGGTGATGAAAATATGAGCTTCCGGCTTTTGGGGAATGGTACAAACAACTGTTTCATTTTAAAAATAAAATCTATAAATTATTCTCATTGAATTTTAGCCATCGCTTCTCATGATTAGTAAGGGATCACCTTTTTGCTTTAACAGAGACTAGCCATGACCACATGAAATGATACTACAGTAAGATGGACATAGATCCTACTGTTGGCCTCTATGATGGTTGCATCTGGTCTACACACACACATTTTTTTATTTAAATAATTGAAAATAAAAATGGAGTGAAGAACTCTGGGATCAAGGATAAAGAAACTGGATCTAATATAGTTATGTCAATTCATCACACTTGTAAGTAACGTCCAAGGCTTACCTGTTTGATATAAAATTATAATAGCCACTTTCCTCTACAACTTCTTCAATCACGGCCTAAATTTTAAAAATATGTAAAAAGAAAACAAAGGTCAGTGTTAAATGAAAACAACAAAATAAGACCTTTGAGAATGACTGAAAAACCCTCACCTGCATTTGCTCATATGTTATTCCCTCCTCCAAGTCGAAGCTGCTGGATAGGCCTGAAATAGATAAATTATGGAAAGCCTGACATTTGGTTCACATTTTCTTACTCTTTATTGGCAATTGTGGCTCAAACGCAGTAAAAATAGGTCAGTTTCTTCACTGTAAATTATTTTGGCTTGGACTATTCAAACTTCCCATCTCTCATGCTTTAATCATTGATTACTTTTTTGGTGGTTGGCACAAAATAATATTCACAGATTTAAGAGTACTGCTCATGGTATAAATGAGTCAATTAAATAAATTAAAGCATGTGTGTGTGTGTGTGTGTGTGTGTGTGTGCGCGCGCGCGCGTGCTTGTGTGAACCTGCATGTGTTAGAGGCAGGTGGGGAGGGATTTCAAACACAACTTCCTAATAGGTGACTTTTCAGACGAGGATATTTATTTACCTTAGCCCAAAAGTCAGAAAGGGTGAATTATGTTCCAGAAAAATAAATTCTGAGAGGCGGTGGGGACTCTCAGAAGAGAGCAAGGATCTGACCTTTTCATTTACTTGCCTAGTAGAAAATAAACTTCTATTTAATGCCAGAGGGCAAGGCTTTTTTTTGTTAGTTAGTGTGGGTATGGTACCTTAGAACCTTAAGCTACCACTTGCACTATCAAACCTCATTGCCATCCAAGTTGATGTCTACCCACAGTGATCTGATAGGGTGGAGTAGAACTTCTCCACTGGGTTTCAAAACCCATAATCTTTAGGGAAGTAGACTGGCCCATCAGTCTCCTACACAGCAGCTGGCAGGTTTGAACCACCAATCTTTTCATTAGTCGTCAAGCTCTTTAACACCTATGCCATTAGGGTGCCTTTAAATCACTCCAGTGCTGCTCAAAGCTAGGTTGGATCATTTGTGCCCAGATCCATCAACATTGACTCCTGTGGAGGTAGGGGTTCCCCTGCTGTTTTGGATAGGGAAAAAGAGAACGGGATTAAGATTGAGGAGAGAGAAGAAAAAGTGATTACTGGCTCCTTGTTCAAGTCAAGCTTCCAGAAGCTTCTCAGAGGATGGGGAGTTGGCCTTACACTTTTGTTTCTTACTCCCTGTTATGTTAGGATTGGCTTGGTCGTCTCTGGGGTGGGGCATCCAGGTACCCCAGATGAGGTGTGTCCTCATTCCACGTCAGAGGTTCTCATCTCACGGAAGTGCTATTGAACAGGGCTGGTTGACCTCATGGCTAATTCACTTGCTCTGTGGGTCGCTTTTAAAAAGCGAATGGCTTCTGACCACATTCTATCTTGATCTTAGAGAATTTCTCAAGTACAGTAGGAAGAGAGATTCTGCCAATACAGGTTTACTTTATTCCAGAAGTCTGAAACTTAGAGAAAGTTTGATAATTAAAAAAGAAAATTATTTGCCTCAATCAGACAACAAGAAATACAAGAGCCTTTCCAGTCTAAAGAGGCAAGTCTTCCCTTCACTCTGAAAGCTTCACTTCTGTTCACTCCATTGCATGACGTAACTATAGGTTTTGAAGATTCGACAATGATTTAGAAATTCTGAAACCTCTGAGTACCTTGGAAAGCAAGCGCCTTGTTAAATATAGTAATATCAAAAATGAAGCAATACTGAACATCTACCAATGACCACATACTTTTTTTATATCTTTACTCTGTGCAATGCTATAATGTAGGTCTATATTTAGCCTCCCTTTACAGGCAAGGAAACCGGCCTGCCGAAAGGTGCACTAATTAGCTCAAGGTCAGCTATTAAATATTTTAGCTGAAACTTTAATATCAGCATTCAAGTTTCCAGAGCTTGCCCTGTTAATTTCTATGTAATACTGCCTCCCTACGTAAAATGGTTAAAATGGAGAGACAGAAAGAAAGATACATGAACAGATATCCGTCTAAGGTGAATCCCTGGTTGTTGTTATGTGACGCAGGGTCAGAACTAACTGCTGAGTGACCCTCAAGCGGGTTCTCAGAGGCAGTAGGTCACCCATCTCTCTCCCACGGAGCAGTTGGCAGAGTTGAACTCTGTGCCTTTGGGTTGGCAGCTCAACTTTTTACTACTAGGCCACCGAACCCTCCTCATGTGGATTCTACAGGTAAGTTGTTGTTGTAGGGGAAACACAGTAGTTGCAAAATAGCCAAGAAAAGTGTGTTTTACCTGGTACTCTGGGTAAATATGGAAAAGATAAAAGAAGGAAAGGGGGAAATGGAGGGTCTGTAATTGGCACAATTCTATTCACACTGTGCCTCATTTTGTGGGTATGTATACACGGTTGTGCCGTTAACACAAAAGTGGAGCCTGTCTGGCTGATGAAATCCCTCTGGATCTTCTTAGGAGAAAGACAGACAAGTCTCCACCAGAGGGAATTTACAGCCTCCAGAAACCTAGTGCACGGTCAGCTCGGAGTCCGTTCCAACAAGGAGTTAGAACTTACGCAAGGTCAGCTACAAAGCTAAATGAAGTTTCTTCTTTCCCTGAATATGCTAAAATTAGGTGCTCGCCGAGTGTTCTTGGCTCTAAGGTCACATGGTCTTACGGAGAAAGAGGATATTTGCCGTTAAGAACATGGGCATAAGCTGGGAGGTTTACAAAGCATTGCCATAAATTTAAATGTAAGTTCCTTTAGGTTCCCCACTGCTGCTTTGTTGATTGTCACTGCTCTTTATAGTGCTTTTTTTCCATTTTTTTAACACATTGCCACACACTTTTAAATTGAGACTGTGCTTAGAAACAGTTTTTTTTTTTTTTTGCAGTCATTTGCGACAACGTGTTAATTAACAAACAATGATGAGAGTCAGCCCAAAGTTTGGCAAAGTTATTTGGCTTTTGTGTTAGCAATGCTTTGAAAAACTGAATAAAACATTTGAATTAAAAAAAGAGGGGGAGACAATAAAAGATGTGACATTGCAGGAAGGTGATTGGGACCATTCAACAGGTTGGAGAGAAATAAGAATGAATTAATTACATTTCTTCATGAGTAGTTGCTATCATGTTAACAAAAGCAGTCTTGGTTTTAATGTTCTTCTGCTCTGAAGGGAGTTTAAGGTGTTTTCAAATATTAACCTATGTGTGAATAAGAAAGGGACTTTCCTAGGAGGACATGCATAAGGCACTTGAGGGGAGACATGTATTGGGGTCTTTCTAAGATGGTGATCTGAACAGTTTCCTTTCACCCTCTCTCTTTCTCTCTCTCTCTCTCCCCTCTCCCTCCTTCTTTCTCTCCCTCCCTTCCTCTCTTTTCCCTCCCCCTCCTTCTCTGTGTCTGTGTCTGTGTGTGTGTATTCTAAGACACTTTCACATTTTCTCCATTATAAACATACATATTCTTTATTTTGACTTCTCTCAATAGAAGCTTCTAAGCATTTGATTTCCTCTCATTAGATAAGCAAAAGGAACCAAAATAAAATGCAATTTGCCCACACAGTTTCTGTTATTTATTTTCTAATCAATTATCCAGGAAGGTGCCACGACTGGGTAAAATCAATCCTGGGGAATTTCTCGAGTCCTAACAGATCCTCCTATCTAATCGCTGTGACAGATAATAAACATAAACACAATTTTGTTCTTTCCTAGAGAAGTGCATATGTTAGGAACCACTGTTGATTCAAATGGTACACATCTGTCAGCAAACCTGATTTCCCTGCCTCGACGGCCTTTACCTGTTGGGTCATTTGGGGATATGCTGTTTCCTGCAGATGAATGATGTAATAAATGGTAATCTGCTGTGAAGATGTTGGGCTCGATTGGTTCTGGGGAGCCTTGAGACAACTGAAATAGAAAACGCAAAAGTCAGAAAGATAGGATGAATAAACGTATAGTGCATTGAAACAAATGAGGGAGAGAACTGTTTAAAAGCGATAGATGATTAGGTATTATTGTCATGACAGGAGTCCAGAACGAAGGCTGTTCAGTAGAGTGGGCTTGGGGGGAGGGATTGTATAACAATGAAAGAATTTTTCTTTTACTTTTCAAAGAGAAGAGCAAACTGGGGGTGGGAGGGCAAGGAGAAAAGTGCAAGGATGAATGAATGGAAACCCAAAGTCTCTGTAAACGTTCATTAAAACTAATAATAATAAAAGAAAAGGCAAAAGCTGTATCTTACTTTAAGCTCAGAAAGAAAAGACGTGCCACCTCTGCGTAAGGTTTTCTATTGTCCCTGTATCCCTGCACGAACATGCCCCCCCTTCAGGGATTTATAATTCCTTGTAAACAGACAAAGAAACATCTTCTTCCTCCAAAATAACTTCTAAATTGGAGGCAGGCAAATTACAGTGAAGGCTCTTTGATAATTCCCTGGCCACATTGAAAAAAAAAAAAAACAACAACACAAAAGTGGACACACAATACTCTATACCCTTATGAGAACAAAATACAATTGGATAGGAAAATAATGGCATGAGGTCTGGGACATCAAAATGTTATTTTTATCAGATGTAGGAGACGGAATCATCTACAATTATTCAACAGAACAATATGTTTAGCTCAAGTCACCTTTTTCATGGATCTGCTTTGAACAATGCTTCCTTGTCTGACCAACGCAAACTTTCTAACTCCATTTTTCCAAATCACTACTAATTCATTGTAATCTCTAAACACTTCACCCCAGCTCTGAAGTGAAGAAGAACTCACCGAATGCCAGAATTTCATAAAATGACAACTATTCAGCAGCCTTCTTGACAGCTGAAGTTTTAAAATAAAAATTGAAGCTATAAATGCTTTTCATCTTCCTCTGACTTGTATTTTCAATCAGTGCCTGCACTGGCCAAGTTTCTATGCCTGATTTACTATCATAATGCTTTTAAGATGTCAAGCCATGCTAATAAACAAGAAGCAAACGACACAGCTTGGACTATGCAATGGTAGTAACCTCTGATGCGCATTCTCTTGTTCACAAATTGAAGCCACATTAAACAAAACAGTTTGCTTTTACAGAAAGTTCAACAACACCTTCTCATGCTATGATCCAGCAATCCCACCCTGAGATATTTATCCAAGAAAAACAACAACATATGTCAATCAAAAGACTTAAGAATGTACATTACACTCGATGACACATAACAACAATAATAAGACCTTAATAAGGTTTAACCCATTGGCAGCCCCTCCCTGGAAGTTCAAATCCACCAAGTGGCTCTATTGGAGAAAGATGGATACTCTCTTCCCGGGTAATTCACAGTCTCTGAAAATGCACTGGAGGGCCAGCGAGGAATCCTTTCTGACTCCACAGCAATGGGTTTGAATTTTTGAGTGTGACTGCTTAAACGGCCACAGGAACCACAGAAGCAAATGCTTGTGACGGTGTTCCATCCCCACACTCCCTGCCATGCTCATATCCCCATGGCAACCCCTGTGTGTCCATCCACCTCACTGAAGCGCTTCCTCTCCCCACTGGTCCTCTACCTGCCCCTGACTGATGTTCCTCCCAAGGACTGGCTCTTCTTGAAAAAATTTCTTAGCGGGGCTGGGGGGCAAACTCAGAAAAGAGGTGATACATAATGTACACTGCACTGAAACAGACGAGTCAAAGAACTGCTTAAAAGGAAGATATATGATTAGGTATTGTTTGCAGGCTAACAGTCTGGAATAGGAGCTGCATAGGAGAGTGGACTGGGGTGGGGGTAGGGAATCGTAGAACAATGAAAGAAGTTTTTTTTTCAAAGAGAAAGGCAAATCGGGGAGGACAGGGAGGAAAATGTAAAACAATGAATGAATGGAAATCCAAGTTCTCTATAAACTTTCATTAAAATCTCAATTAAAAACAAAGAAATCAACAACAGCAGCAACAACAAAAAAAACCCAAAAAACAAACAAACAAACAAACAAAAAACAACAGCAACTTCTTAAGCCTTAACAAAATACCTTGAAAGGATGAGTTTCTGGGTCTGGAAGCTAAAGATCATAGATATAAAAGACATCAAGGCAAATTGACATAATCAGAGAAATTGTTCTACTTGATACTTCGGTAAATAACAACTATTGTTTTGTTTTAAAGGCTTGTGAGCAGCCATCTATGATGCAACTACCGGCCTTGTTCAGAGAAAAGAAGTGAAAAGAAAAATCAAAGACTGTTAGTCAAGAACTGACTAAGGCACCACGTGGGCTTTAATTTCCACAAGCCTGAGATGAGAAGAGAAGAACTAGATGGGAACCTGCTAGATGGGAACCCGCTACAACTGTTGATGGCTCTGATTAAAAGATGCCTGAAACGGTAGAAGAATGGGGGGGGGGCAACAAAAAACCACCACCAACAAACCCTTAACTCAAAATCATAAGAAATAACAGACTTATCATTCAAAACTATGACCCTTAGTCACTCAAGACTAAAAATGAAATCACCACATGATTTCAATGCTAGTCAAATAATAGACAAACTTGCTGTCAGTGACGTTTCCTGAGCACTGAAGAGCAATGTCATCAGTCTAGAGACTAAGGTGCACTTGATCTAGGCCATGGTCTTTACAATTACTTGCCATGCATCAGAGAACTGGACAATGACTAAGGATGATGGAAAGAGAATTAAAGCCTTTGAGTTGTGGAGTTGGAAAAGTGTACTGAATATACCCTGGACTGCCAAGAGCACAGAAAACCTCTGTCCTGGAGAGGGTGAAATCAGTATGTTCCTTGGAGGCAAGGATTTTGGAAGTTCTGTCTGAAATAGTTTGGGTATGTTGCAAGGAAGGACCAGTCCTTGGAAAAGGACATCATACTCTGAGGGTAGAGGAACAGTATAAGAGAGGAAGACCCTGGATGAGTTGGATTGACTCAGTGACTGGGGTAATAGGGGTAAGTGTACCAGGGACAATGAGGTTGGCTCAGGACAGAGCAGGGTTCAGAGCTGTTGTACATAGGGTCACTAGGAGCAGGAGTCAACTCTATAACAACAACATAACAACAACAGGGAATTCATCAGTAACTACAGTGATGGGATTCAAGGTGTTAGAGATACAGATTGCAGATCTGGTTATTCATAGGGTTGTCATGAGTCACACTTGACAACAACAGTTGACTAATAGCCCCAGAACAATTGTTCCTTAGAACAATTATCAATACAAACTAGAAAAGGTAGTATTTTTCCCAAGAATAGAGCTGAAAGGTCTGAAGGAATAGATGGATAGATGGAAATGGGAAATATAAGGTGGAATCAAGAAGAGTGCTGTTAGAATGTGGTTTTTCAGCCAAACCACAAAATGTAATGCGAGTGAACTGATAGAGTAGAAAAGGAATTAGTTCTGTAAACTTTCACTCAAGTCAAAATAAAAAGCAGATAGATATATATAGATGATAGATAGATAGATAGATAGATAGATAGATAGATAGATAGATGATAGATAGATAGATAGACAATAGAGATAGACAAGAGATAGATAGATAGATAGATAGATAGATAGATAGATATACAAGATAGATAGATAGATAGATAGATAGATAGATAGATAGATAGATAGATAGATAGAGATAAGATGATAGATATTTAGGTAGATAGAGATAGATATTTAAATAGATATTTAGATAGATGATAAATATATGGATGGATAGATAGATAGATAAATAGATCAAATTCAATACAGGGAAACAAAGGTCACAAACTCTTCTTGTTTAAACGTGGTGGGGCTTCATGCTTTTCTTCATCGGCTTTAAAATGAGCACTTGCTCCTTGCTGGGCGCTATGCCATATTCCAAAGAATCAAAGATTAAAAAGACATAGTCACTGCCTTTGAAGGAAAAAGACAAACAAGGCTGACAAATAGCTACTTAAAACATAATCATCAGAATGGAGAGAAAAAAAAAAAAAGGATTCCTGCCTAGAGAAAGGGGAGATTAATTCTGAACAGGGAGAAAATGAAGGAAGGATTTTATGGAGGTGGTACTTTTTCAGTTCAGCAGTGAAGAATAAGAAGTATTTTCATCTCCCAAGCTGGAGCTGGCTTTCGCACAAGGAGAAGAGCCTGTCTCTGTGGTCTGGCAGGGTCTACACTGTGAGGATATGATCCACCTTCCAGGGGACGGCTCAAGCCCGGAGCATCCCATGGATGGACCGCAGGGACGGAACCTCTGTTGACCACATGATGAGTCCTGGATCTGTGCTCTCCTTTTACCATCCCTAAATCCTAAACCATATCCAGACCCTTGGCTCACCTGAAGGTTCACACCCGATGCTCCACAGACCCCCATTAGCTTGTAATAGCAGAGCAGGGAACACTGGCCTCCCTTGGAGAGGAGTTTTATCTGTCCCCTCACAGAGCCAACACTGAGGACCAGCTCATCCTCACTGGGCCCTCTCACCTGTGTTCCCCTAACACATGCTGCCTGCCACCCCATGAATCCCTGACTCTACTTCTCCAGTCAAGAAGAGGCTGCTCTGCTTATGCGAACTGAGATGCTCTCAGATAACTCAGGAGTCACTAGAGATCAAAGATGGTCAAACGTTCTGCTGCTAGACAGGAGAGCCAAGGTTCAAGGCCATCCAGAGGTACCTGGTGATCTACCTCCAAAAACTGAGCCTTTGAAAACTGCTGGGAACACAGGCCTGCTCTGATACACGTGGCGCTGCCACGAATCCCAACTACACTGATAATATTTAGGGGGAAAAATCAAAGGCAAGGAAAACAGAAAGAAATGTCCCATGTGATGCTGCCCAACACACAGGAAGACAGACCAGGAAGGAGGGGTCAACAGGAGGTCCCTTCTCTAGCAAGAGAAGAAAGGAAGACAGAAAGGAAGAGATACAAAACCGAGAAACCTTCAGTTAGGAGGGAACATGACTTGTTTCCAGGAGATGCATGGATATGGGTCAGTCGGGGGGGAAAACATTTCAGGTTCCTTTGCTCTCTGGGAGTCAGCTGCAGGCGCTCGGATAGCAGAAAACTGGGAGTACTGTGGTTCAAGTGACCTGTGTCTGAACTCGACTCTCCTGAAGATCATTTTAATCATACATATAAAACTCTAGCAAACACGGATTCTTTTCACGGGAGATTTGAGCTTACTGTCTTTTTAAAAATAAACTTATTGATATTCATAGGTCAATATCATAAAGTACTGCCATTGCTGCTACTCATGGTTTGATCTCTGCTCAGCTTGGCTTCTTTTTAGCTTGGCTTGGTCCTTTTTGGTCAACACCATCCATGGGAGAAGTCTCCGTGCTCGGACTTCTAATGTGGCGAGTTCATGATTTGTTCACCTGCAATTATCTTCTCAACTCCTCTTTATCGTGTGTGTGTGCCTGCGTGTACATGTGTGCTACCAATGCCAGGCAGCAAAGCATAATAGTACTGTTTGCATTTTGTACCAAAGAATCCATTCCATTTCCTTAATAACAAATAGGTCTAAGCTTAAGAATAGACTCATGAGGGGAGAAAATGAAATCTTAAAAAGAACCTCACTGACATTCACACAATGTACTACTGTGCAGCACTCAGGAGCAATGATTTAAAAACAAAACAAAACAAACAAAAAAAAAACCCTACAGAACTTGGGAGAGACTAGAGAGCTGAGTGAACTAACTCAGTCTCGTAAGGATAAATACCGCCTAAGACCATTGCTGTCGAAATAGGAGGATAACTAGTAAAACATGTATGGGAATGCAAGGGGGAAGGGCAAGGAGCGGAGGGGAGAGGATGGGTAGGGGCAGAAGCACTGGGTTGCACAGTTTGGTGGTTGGAGGGAGGGGGTGAGGGAAATGGGAAGGACCCAGCTGGGTGGGACCTAAAGAGATTGGGTAATGATGGGTAAGGTCCAATGATGATTGATTTTATAAAGTATAATGAATACGTATGATTGTATGAAACACAATATGAATGAAGAATAGTGTGAAACACAATGTATATGAGCTTTGTGAGCAAACTAACATAAAAACAGAACAAATTAAAAATCTCATTGGTAGCATGACTAAGTCAAATGTAAGTATATATATATGATAAATGTAAATATATATATATTAAACTGGAGTGACATCAAGCTTCTTTACCCAGGGTGGCCTAAATTGCTGTACCCAGAGTATCTCAGAAAGGAATAAATCGAGTAACCACCTCCAGGGTCTGTATACAGCCTGGCCACCAACCACGATTGAAGGATTGATAGAGGGATTCGACTTTACCATGTTGTTTTCAGTCGAATAAACAGTTTTCTTCCTGTCAGGTTGATTTATTCTGTTTGAAATTCAGTTTTAATATGTGTGAGCAGGAATATTTACTAGCATTTAGCCAACTGTTGAATTCAAATACGGAAACGTCAACCCCTTAACCAAAACAAAGAACAAAGTCAATGCAGCCGTGTTCATTCCAAGTCACGGCAATGTACCGTTGGGTGTCTAAGGTTGTAAATATTTCTACAGAAAGACTGCCTGATCTTCCATCAATCTTGTATCTATCAGATGGATTTGAACCACCAACCTTTCAGATAGCAGCCCATCACAATGTACAAGTGCTCCATACAACCACCACTGCTGTTATTGTTAGATGCCATCCAGCAAGCTCCAATAAGCAATGATCCCATGTAGAACACAACACAGCTACACACAGACACACACACACCCCGATCCCACGCCTTCCTCATTCTGTCAATGAGCTTCACCACTGTTGCTGTCACTGCGTCAATCCGTGCCAACATGACCAGAACAAGTCACATAATACCTTCCCATCTTCGTTTCCAACAACTACTCTGGAAGCACTTCTTCCAAGAGAGATTTGTTTGCTCCTTCAGTCATCGCTGGAATATTCTGTATTTTTCCTTCAACATAATAATAAATCAAAGGCATCAATTCTCCTTTGATCTTCCTTATTAACTGCCCAACCTTTGGATGCTTATGAAGCCATTCACAGTATCTTGGCTTGGATTAGGCACGCCTTCATCTTTAAACAGACATCTTTGCTCCTTAGCACTTCCCCACCACCACCACCACCACTAGTTTATTTCTAAAAGGCGAATACAAATTCAAACAAATTCTTTCCATTTCCCTCACCCCGCCCCATCAAACTGTACAACCCCATGATTAATCCTCCCCTCCCCTTGCACATCCACATCCCTCTGCTTCCAGCCTCTCCCACCCCTCCTGGATCCTTATACTCATTCTACAATAACGGTTTTATACAATATTTATCCTTGTAGGACTGAGTTACATCACTCAGCATGTTCTCCAGTCCCTCCCAAGTTAGGTAATAATTTACAAAGTTATTGCTCCTGCTGCATAGTTTTCCACTGTGTGAATGTACCATAATTTCTCAATCCATTCGTTTGTGGTTGGACATTTGGGCTGTTTCCATGTTCTTGTGATGATGAATAATGCTGCTATGAACACTGGTGTACAAATCTCAGTTTGTGCCTCAGTTCTCATATTCTCAGGGTATATTCCAAGTAGTAGAATAGCTGAGTCATATGGAATGTTTTATGTTCAGCTTCTTTTTTATATCTATATTTTGAGGACGCGCCAAACTGCCTTCCAGAATGGTTGTACCATTTTACAATCCCATCAACAAGAGTTCCTTTCTCGCCACATCCTCTCCAACATCTATTACTTGCTGCCCTGTTAAACTTTGCCACTCTTACTGGAGTGAGATGGTACCTCATTGTGGTTTTGATTTGCATCTCTCTTGATGCCAGTGATTTGGAGCATGGAAAGAGTTTTCACAGAGGAAGATATTAGAATGGCAGACAGACACATGAAGAAATGCTCGTTAGCACTTTTAAAGAGGACTCTGACAGCGTATTTGTCCAATGCAATACATCGATTAATTTCTGGACTGCTACTTCCGCGAGTGTTGACTGCAGATTCAAGCAAAGTGAAATTCTTGATAGCTTCACTCTTTCTCATCTATCATGATGCCTGTTGGTAAAATTGTGAGGATTTTTGGTTGTTTTAATGCTAAGGCTGTTTTGATGCTTTGACACTGTTTGATGTTTTTGTTGTTTTGATGCTAAGGTTTTCATCCATGCTGAAGGCTACAGTCTGATCTTCCTCAGTAATTGAGTCAAATCAGCAAGCAATGCTGTGTCATCTCTGTTAACAAAGATTGGTGATGAATCTTCTCCCAATCCTGAGGCCGCATTCTTCTTCACATAGTCCAGCTTCTAAGATTATTTGCCCAGCATACCAACAGAATAGGTATGATGAAAGGATACAACATTGATTGACAACAAATCATACATTTATACATAAATTATACAATCATACATTTCTTAATTTTGAACCATGTAGCACTCTCTCTTTCTAGTCAATGAACTGCTTCTTGGTCTATGTACATGTTGAACAATTATTATAGAATTACTATCCTTTTAAATATTAAACACACAGCAAAACACCTGAACGCCTTTGTATCGATAGCCCCCAAGTAAACCCTTTTATGATATTCTCAGTTTTCAATCAAGATCCATCTCAGGATATCAAAAATATCACTTGTTCCACAGCCTTTTCTAAATTCAAGGTCTCAGATAGTTAAATGATTTGTAGGGAGTAAGTAGAGACACTAACTTTTAACTTAGACACTTGAGGAACACAATTAAAAAATAAAATACTAGACTATAACCTTCTAAAAGTTGCTAAAATATGCACATTTTATAATTAAGGCTATTCTGATAACACTATTCAGTAAACATGCAATAATGCTGCCAGAATTTTCTATCACCCTTCTAAAAATGAAACTTGCAGAACTAAAGTTGAGAAAATTAGACCCAAAGGCATATCCCCAAGTGGATATGCTAAGCAGTGATAATGTAACTTCATAAAAAATCCAGCTTCATGTCTAAAATAAAGAAGGTCTGAATGACAACTCTTCTGAAGTTGTTTTGGTAACCAAAGGAATTCTTATATATGGAATACTGTACCTTTTTAATTTCCGATTTCAAATTGCAAGGGTTGCTCTGCTGACTGAAGAGGGATTTCTTGAATCTTTCTATAACCCTTCTTTTCAAGTTGTGGTGCAATGCAGGAGGAAGCTGTGGAAAATGACAAAGAACTCACTAGAGCCAAACTGTGAATGTGGCACAATTTCCTGGAAGCATTTACTGACAAGAGAATGTAACTATAGTCATTCAACAGAACTAACAGTTTGGATTTTACTCCAAGAAGCATGTGACTTTGTGCCACAATTCTTTATTCTGTGGTTTAGAATGAGATTACTTGGCAGCCAATTTCCTAGTATTCACTGATGGGAAAAGTAACAATATTCACTTAACAGAACTAAACAAGGATTTAGATTTTACTCCTAGCAGCATGTTATTGTATGCTACAATTCTTTATTCTATGATCTAAAAGGAATAAGATACATTACTTCATTTCATTTCCAAAGTCTGCTTTCATTTATCTTAGCCTTTCTTTTTTATGGATGTTACTTTGACCTAGAAACAAAGTTATATAAATGTATACATGTAAATTGAGTCTTACAGCCTTGACAAGATGAAACAATACTTTATCATGTTTCTAAGTGCTCCAACATACCCAGATCCTGCTTAACAGCCAGCCCTGGACCTTGGCCTGATGAAACTTTCTGTAGTAGAAGATTGCTATCTATGTTAGCTCACAGTCAAATACCTGCCTGGAAGTGCTCCTGTAAAGTCAGCCAGAGTGAGGTCTGATTTTAGAAGTATGTCTTAGACAGGGGAAAAAGAGAATAAATTAGGGCTGAACAGGATGAGTTTGGTTTCATAGGAAGTCACTGGATAGATAGACAGATAGATAGATAGATCGATAGATAGATAGATAGATAGACAGATAGATAGATAGATAGAGATATAGAAAGAATACAGATATATACATATTACAGTATATTTTTTCTATTTAATTTTCCCTCCAATTCATTCATTGTTGCACATTTTCCTGCCTGCCCACCCCTCAACTTTTCTCTTTGAAAAGAAAAAAAATTCTTTCACTGTTATACAATCTCCCTCCCCACGTAAGTCCACAGTCCACTTTACTATGCATTTCTTTTTCTGGAATATTGTTATGAAAATAATAGCTAATCATATATTCTTTTTAAACAGCTCTTTTCCTCATCTGTTTCAATGCAGTATACATTATTTATCCCCTCTTTTCTTAGG